TTGAGAGTTGTGACTAGTACAGCAGATCATGACAGAGTTCAATGGTGAAGTGTCTGAAGAGAACAAAATAATGGCCATTACAAAAATTGTATTAAATCTCATGAAACAAAATGGCCACTAGAGTTTATAGGCCACTCAAAATCATAGCATTTAATGCGAGCGGCATTTGGAGGCAGCGCTATGAGCTCAGTAAACAGCTGCAAGACCTACGCGTCGATGTGGCCCTGTTTTCAGAAACACATCTGAAACCTCATGAGAGATTCTTTCTTCCAAATTAACCACATTTATAGAACCGACCGCCACTCAGGCAGAAAACGCGGAACTGCCGTTGCAGTTAGGAAAGGCATCCCCAATAACCATGTAGACCTACCACCCCTTGCTTCAGTAGAAGCGACAGGGTTCTGCATATAAATTGGTAAGAGTCAAATACTGCTTACAGCTGTTTATGAATCCCGAGGCAGGGCCTGGAGTGATGCTGACATTTCAGAGCTCTTAAACTTTAGACGTAATTCTATTTTGGCAGGTGATTTGAATGCTAAGCACCCACTTTGGAATAGCAGTGTTTCAAACCCCTCAGGCTTGAAACTCATGGATATATTTGATATGATTGATTTCGAAATCTCAGCACCACTTTGCCCCACTCCTTATTGCTCTACGGGCAATGGTGACGTGCTGGATATTGTGGTCCACCAAAATATCAGCATGTCAGATGTCATCGTCTCCGATATTTTGGATTCAGATCACCTACCAATAGTATTCCACATACTGGATCATGTTAAAATTAGGAACCTTTTGGAACCTATTGAAAAATTCACAGATTTTGAGGGGTTTCAAAGCTTCACCTCTGAGTTAATATCACCCAAAATAGAAATTAAGTCTGGGGTAGAAGGCGATGAAGCGACGCGCAACTTTGCAACCTCTATTGCTTCGGCATATAAGTTGTCCACAAGAAAAGTTACACTTTCGGACATAAACAAAGATCTTCCTTGTCTAGGTCGCCTGTTAAAACATAAACAGAGGCTACGAAAATTGTGGCAAGAAACCAGGGATCCAGCATGTAAGACGGCACTAAATTGGGTCACAAAATCAATCAGGCGAATGACCCGAAAATAGGCACTTGAACGGTGGGAAACAAAAATAGGTAAAGCTGATGTCACACCTCATGGTATATGGACAATTGCGAAATCCCTCCTAAAGAGAGACGAACCAAGGGCACCAACTGCTATTCATGGTGCTGCAGGCCTTAAATTTCACCCATTCGAAAAAGCCAACGCAATTGCTGATTGTTTGGAAATTCAGTTCTCGCCTCACGATCTTTGATGTAGAGACCCATTGCAAGGCAACTTCTAAATAAACACTCCCGCGAAATACGCACACGCAACAATAGGAAGCCCGTTGCTAGGTAATGGATCGGTGTAAACATCTTGTCAACAATACGAAGGCTGAGTTTTCTGTGTGGTAAGTGCAAAGATTTGTAGTGGAGGAGGAAGGTTATTTGGAGCACTTGAGTTCCGAGGTTCCAAGGGAGCAATTAGTTATTATAAGACATCGATAGGATCGTTTGGAGGAGAATTAAAAGGTGAGTCTGAGAATAGATATGTGATTTGTAGTTACAATGGGACTGTTATATATCCGTTGCCAGGATACGACTAGTGAAGACCGAGAACCATAGTGCGTGTGTAACGGTGAATTGAAACGTGTGTAGATCGGAGATCGTGCGCTACTGTATGTAGTTCCGAGTTGTGAATGCATAAGCTGTCAATAAATCCAATCCAACAACGATGTTATAAATCACGCTAAAACGTGATAATCATATAGACAACGATAGTGCCAAGCTTCCCCATTCCTCGGGGGCGCTTTTCTAAACTAAAGACAATTTCATATACGTTGTGTTAAATAGTTGTCCCTGTGCTTAACTAATTTAGCGCTACTCCGTGAAGGCGGACGGGGGAGTGTCTGTATAGTTCCACATTTTCTTGACCTCGGCATTAGCAGGAGGTGAGTGATCAGCTTAATGCCCCGGCAGATTTACCTCAGGTAACCATTTGGTAGGAGGTTGGGTGGACCCCAGAGCCGGTCTGGAGAATGTGGAGAGAAAAATCTTGACCATACCGGGACTCGAACTCCGACCTCTCTGTCGCCCAGCCCGTAACCAGTCGCCATACCAACTACGCAGTCCCAGCTCCTTATGTAATCTTAAGTAAAGCAAAATTGTTTTCAGATATCCTGTTCATAATTGAATAATTCTTGCCATTCAAGCAGCGGGGTCTTTTTCAAACAGCTTCGAAAGAAAACAAAAAAATTAATTAAAAATAAAAAGCTAAGCAGTCGACTAAGCTGTCGACGACATACGATAAGTGAAGTCCTCCACCTCGGGGGTTGGGTATGGGGCTAAAACTCATCACCGTAAAAAATGAGATACGAAAGATCACAAAAACCTCTGGTCTGGGCGGGTTCTTTAGATAAACGAACCAAGCGAAAGGAAATGGATATGAGATTTGGTACTTGCAATGTTAGTAGTACGTGTATATATGGGGCAGGTTCAATCAGGGTATTGGCGGAAGAGATATGGAAATTTAGTGGGACATGTCAAGACGTTGTTGGGCAACGAAATGTGGAACGAGTTACCACGAAGACAGACTATTGGTAAACGGTCGGTTACCACGTTACGCAACAGTAAGGAAAGCTGTGTTACTCCGTGCCTAGCCGAGCCAAACCGAACTGAACCGAACTGGATCATATGCAGCTGTAAACTCTCGGCAGCGTTGCCAAGCAACGCCTCTGTAAACACAGCGGCACGCAACAGTGAAGCAAGCGGCGTTTTCCTCCTGTCCGATTGAGGGTTTTTAAAAGTAAATAGAATGACTTAATGTAGCCGCCGCCGAAGTCTGTTAGTCAGTATTCTGCTGTATTCGATTAGTATTCAGCAGAACACATGTCTGTCAGTCAGTCGAAGCAGTTAGACAGTGTTACTCAGTTCTTGGAGAGAGTGCGAGACAGCCCCGGGAAGAACTGAATGTGTGACGTGTAATATTTGAAGTGACACTTTCTGTGTGGAGATCCTTTGCTAGGAAACGGCTAGTGGAAAACAGAAAATCCTACTGAGTGTGCAACGGTGAACTGGAGAGTGTGTAAATCAGCGATAGTGTTGTATTTGATTTTAATTAAGAGATAGTGTGTAACCAAGTGCTTAATAAACCCATTACCAATCCGAACGTCGTCTTCAGTAGAGACAAAACGTTAAAATACGTTAGATTTAGTGAAAGTACAGGAGGTCAGATGGGACAGACGTGGCACTGAATCGGCAGGTGAATAGTATACATTTTTCTATGGAAAGGGGAATGAGGATCACGAATTAGGTACAGTTTTTCGTACAGAACAGAACCATATCAGCAGTTAAGAGAGAACAGTTCGTTAATGATAGGATGTCATACATAATACTAAGCGGTCGATGGTGTGATATCATCTTTCTGAATGTTCATGCCCCAACAGAAGATACAATTGATGATATTGTAACGTGGATGGACGGAACATTTCTAGGCAACGACCTGTAAGCAACCTTCAGTCTCATAAGCGTACTCAATTAGGTTATACAACCCGTTTCTAGGCAACGGTTCAGTAAATAGACTTCCGCGCAGGCGTAATGACGTCACACTACAAGAGTAATAGCTTTCAGGTGACGGGCTTTAAATGGAGTCATGCCGTGACCGTTGCTATCCAATCGTTCAGTAAACAGGTTTCAACAAAATAGTCTGTTTTCTGTGCGTGGTCGGTGCGGCGGCTATATAACGACAGTTAGAGACAACAGAAGTCAGTGAATCAGATTATTTCAGAGTGTTTAACTGAGAGCGAGAGAGTCCACGATGGAAGAGAACCACGGAAATTTCGTCGCGTGAAGATGTCGTGTGTGAGTTGAAGACTTTATTCATGAGAGTGAATTGAAGCGAAAATTTTCATGTTGAGATAAGTTACCCGGGGAGTACTAGTGTGCGCGCAACAGTGGATTATGAAGTGTGTAAATCAACGACATCGCTATAATTTAATTGTGATTAGGAGAGGTTGTAACCAAAGTTCCAGTGAATCCAATCATGCAAACTAGAACCCGTCATTCTAGTTACGCGTGCCACCCTACACGAGAAAATATGAAGAACAGGTTCTACAAAGTACTAAAACGTGTATTAGGCAAAATTCCCTAAATACAATATGAGAATTTAGTTGGGAGATTTCAATGCCAAAGCTGGTAAGGAAGATATTTTCAAACCAATAATTAGGAAAAAAGAGATTACAAGATATTAGTACCGATAATGGAGTTAGAGTAGTAAACTTTGTCGCATCCAAAAGTACAGCGTTCCCACATCATGACATTCATCAATTTACTTCGACATCTACTGATGGGAAGATGCACGTACAACCATATTTTCACAGAGAGGAGACGGCATTCAAGTATACTTGATGTCCGAGCATTCAGGGTGAGCAGACTATGATACTGACCACTACCGAGTGGTGGGAAAAATTAGGAGGAAATAGGCAGTGAGTAAACAAAGCACTTAGTTCATATGGAGAGATTCAGTCTCAAGAAATTAGAAGTGATAAGGGTAAAGCGCAGTATCGTGTTGAAATGTCAAATAGGTTCGGAGCTTTGGGAAACTTAGACACTGAGATTTATATTGTGACATGTCAATCCGTTGTCGGGCGACATGATGTTGAACGAGTTACCACGAAGACAGACTTGATAAACAGTTGGTTGCTAAGTTACGCAACTGTGGAACGAGAGTATGCAACACGATTCTAAGCGTCAGGAGGTAAACAAGATTCCCGCGCAGGCGCGATGACGTCATACTGAAGTAGTGAGTAGGAATCACGTGACACCTTCGTTTCCGCGTGTGAAGTTACCACCATCCAGCCCGTCTCTACGAAACGCGCTGTAAACACCCCTCCTCCCTAGGCTGTGAGGTCACGCAACAGTGGAGTCCGTGCAGTGACCGTTCGGTAGGTAAACACGTTCCAACAGTATAAGCTCTTTTGTGCGTGGTCAGTGCGGAAGTTATATAACGACAGTTACGCACAGAACAGATGTCAGTATTTGGCGGTATTTGAGAGTGGAGGAAGCAAGCGAAGTGGAACCAGGAATACAGAAAGTTGCCCTGTGAGATGTAAAGTGTGACGGGAAGATTTCATGGGTAATATTTGTAGTGGTTTGAAGTGACAGTTTCTATGTTGAGATCCGTTGCTAGGAGACGAATAGTCGAAGACAGAGAATCGTAGGGCTTATGCAACGGTGATCTGGTAAGTGTGTGAATCAGAGTTAATGCTGTATTGCATGCATATAAGTGTAATTAAGGGAGAGTGTAACTAAATGTTTAATAAGACCAATTACTATTACGAACGGCGCCTTTAGTAGCCAAAGACGCTACAATATTATTAAAGCTTGGGAAAATATTAGAGAGAATATAAGAATTTCTGCGAAAGAAAGTCTAGCTTGTTATAAACTGAAGGAGCATAAGCCATGTTTCGATAAAGGATGCTCAGAATTATTAGACCAAAGGAAACAAGCCAAATTGCAGTGGTTACAGGCTCTAAGCGAAATAAACTCTGATAATCTGAACAATATAAGACTTCAACCCGCAGACAATTTAGGAATAAAAGGAAGGACTATCTGAAAGACAAAATAAGAAATCGAAACCTGACATAGGAGGATATTAAGAGGAGACTGAATTCGGGTAATACTTGCTACCATTCAGATCAAAATCTCCTGTCCTCTCGTCTTACGTCCAAAAATATAGAAACTGGAATACAAAAAAATACAATTTTACCTTTGATTCTGTATGTTCGTGAAAATTGGTCTCTGACATTAAAGTAAGAACAGAATGAGGGTGTTGACAACACCCGCAACCAAACAGGGAACACACAACACATATCATGGACGAAAATCAGTGCAACAGGACGCTAAAATACAACAGCATAATGAGGAGCTTCATACCTTATACTCTTCTCCAATGATCAAGACGAGGAGAAGGAGATTTCTATGGAATGTAGCAAGAATGGGGGCGGAATGCATATAGGATATTGCTGGGAAATTCGGAAGGAAACAGACCACTAGGAAGACCAAGTCATAGGTTGATGGACAATATTAAAATGGATCTTGGAGAAACAGAATATGCTGTTATGGACTTGATCGATCTGGCTCAGGATAAGGACGAGTGGAGGGCTCTTGTGAACACGGTAGTGAATTTTCGGGTTCCGCAACGACTCTCCAAGAATCGGTGCCAGAAAATCAATGCTTCCGACAGAGTCTTTCCATCTTCTGTGCTCACATTCTTACTGTCAGACGAATATCCAGCAACTGATCTCATTCATCCTATAGTCAGTCAAAGTTATATTACTACCGAAGGTCTTCGTGTCAAGAACCTTTCTGGGACACATGAACAAATTTTTGTTATTGTCAGTCAATTTCCGGTTTGTTGACGTGGAGCGGCCTCTCTGACGAGAGGACGGGTATGTCTTTCATAACTTCTGGTGGAGGGATTCCCGCGGGACTCATCACCTAATTTTCCCTCTCCTTTTCAAGACTCCTTAACCTAAAGGGCCTTTACTGGTATCCCCAAGGAACAGGGTGGCCCGATTATATATCCAGGCACTGGAATCCCTTCTCTTTGCTTCTTATTACCTGCAGGGCTCCGGTATCGAGGTCAAAGTCACTTTACGAGTGACGGTTTGCCGACAATCGGTTCGTCTTCGCTCGAAGCCCCTTGAGGCCCAAGAGCAGAGATGTTTCTTTTTCAAATGAATCGTTGTGGTAATAGTCCTTATGTATTTTAACAGTCTCTCTGACCTGAGGATGGATTTGTCTCATGAATATCCTTGGCATTTCATCAAGTGTACGTATCGCATTTATAGCATTTTAGTAAAATTTCTTTCTTTAGCTCTGTATACACGTCCTCTCTCAGTCCATACTTTGCAAAGCAGATCATGCTTATCTTACGTATTTTATGCTACAACGGCTGCCTAGTCATTAGAGTAGTCGTAAGCTCGACAAACGCCAAATTTAAGCCTCTTATATTTCCTGTGTCTGACTCTACCTTGTCCTATGCACGAGCATGTTCGTCATACACATTTTTCCAGCTTCTTGATGATTCGTTGAATGCTCTTATTAATTCCAACCGAGAAATTACAAACAGCATGTGCTCTTCACGAATTCAGATTTGTCATATTTGAAAGGAATTATTTTCACAATTTCACTCTTTTTATTCAAAATAATCTTCTTCTGAATCAATGCATAGTTGGAATCGACTGAAAAGTTTTCGAAAACAGTCACTGTACTCTTTTTGTGGAATTGCATTAAAAACTGCGGTATATTCCCTTTGGATGTCCTGGATGGTTTCGTGACGGTCTATTTTCATTGCCAACTTCACTTTTGGGAACAACTAGAAATCTGCTTGAGCCAAATCTGGCGAATACGGAGGATGATCAAGGACTCTGATCCCTTTTCTGGTCAAAAAATCGCGCCGCACCGTCTTCGATTTGTGGGGTGAGGCACTGCCGTGGAGGAGCGACCAGGAACCTTGCTCTCGATATTCAGGTCGAATTCGAAGAATTCTCGCCCACAAACGATTGAGGACTCCGAGATAGCAATCAGAATTCACTGTTTGACCTTCTGGTAGAAATTCATTGTGAATGGTTCATTTGGAATCGAAAAAAATAACGGTCAACAGTGTCTTTACTCGACTCTTTTGCATGCCCACTTTCTTTGGTTTCGGCTTCTTTGGGCTCAATCACCCTGCATTCTGCCGCTTTGTGAGAGGCTCGAGACACCATGTCTCGTCACCAGCAACAATCGATTTTGTAAATTTTGTATCACTTTAAGTCGATCGTAACATGTCTTTCCAGTGTCAAATCTCCTCAGTCAAAATTTTATGCACAGTACTTTTTGGTATTCCCAAAAGCTCTTTGATGCGTATGGTAGAAACACATCTCTCTGATGCAAGAATTTCGGTCACTTTTTCACATTTTCTTCAGTGCGACTTGCGACTCAAACAATCACTACCGTACACAATTTTCATCATTTCTTACGCTTCTCCGGCTGTTTTGCCTGACGTCAAACAAACTTTGATGTTGGCTCTCTGTTCAACCGCAATTTTCCGACGAGCGTCAGAACAGTACTGTTACATTCAAGGTCAGAACACATGATGCAGCTTGCTTGCGCTTTGAAATATAGACAGCCACAGCTGAAACTTCAAGAATTTTAAAGCCATAACTCGCCAACAGATGACATTGCAGGGCAAAATAGAAAAAAGAAATCCTAACGGATCCTGGACACGCCGTGTACATCTCGTCACGAGGCGCAGATTTGAGGCACATGTACGAGTAGATCCTCACGCACTTAAGGCAGAAGGGCATGGCGAATAACTAAGCGTGGAAAAAACTCAATTGTCTTCACTAAAGCAGGGTGTGGATTTTGTGGGATTTTGTGGTAGGGCACGGGAAGCAGAGACATGCAACATTCTTATGCACACATGCAAGGAGACTAAAATGAACTCCAATCCATACACGTACTACATATATTTATGTGGCTACACGTATGTTCGCTTTTTGACGCTAAGAATAAGCGATACACTTCAGCACACTGAACCATATGAATACACAATTAACTGATGGCATTTTAATTGTTTTTCAGGTGACGTATCAACATGCCTCAACTGAAACAGCCCATGCCTCTGCAAGACAAGTGCTTACAGGAATGTGTCAACCTTTATTGCGGCGCATGCGTGAGATGGATTTCGAAATTGCTTCAGGCCCAAATATCTAGCAGAAGAGTTTACTTGATAACGACACGGAGCGTTTTGGCTGAATGCTGTCAGATCCGAAGGAGTCTATCAGAGCTTCCGTATTTCGTAATAGAAATGATGTCTCCTCAATTAACGAGTAAGTTTGCCGACATGATAATCAATTACGATAACAAACATCAGTATAAACAAAATGCATTTTGGGATAGAGAAAGCCACAGCAGTATATGCAGTGCCATGTTTCGCTCTGTGCTGACACCTCATGTTCATGAGCATAATGACGAAATAATGTCGTGCAGTAGTTTTACACAGGATTTACTAGTTCAAACTCTGGACAGCGTACCTGGATTAAGAACATTGTATTTGAGATTTAATAGAACATATAATGGCTACCCGAGTGCACTTGCAAGGATGATCTGTCACCTTAGGCATTTGGAGATATTTACTTTCGAGGATGATTGCACTGACGAAGTGATAGAACAACTGGGATTGCACTGCACCCACATGAAGAAGGTTTCTCTGTGTGATTCTTTGCATGTAACCAACGCTTCTGCTAAGCACTTACTGCAACTCAGGAAATTAGAGTTTTTAAATTTGAGTGAAACAGGAATTGATAAGGAACACTATGCGTTCCTACTCTCAGAATTACCTCAAATAAAAGAAATCGTATTCAGAAGAAAGGAGGATGATATTTTAGATCATGTTGCAGAGAAGAACCTTCATAAGATATCACATGTCAGCGGTTATGTTCAGGATATCAGTAAGCTAGCACAGAGATGCCGCAACATAACTAACTTGGATATATGCCTATTTACTGAAGATCTGTCAGGCCTGGCAGCTTTGACCAGATTACACACCTTGCGACTTACAGAGGGAGATTATGCTAAATGTAATCTGAACGCCGTCCTAACGGATATAGGTCACAGACTTACCGATTTGTTTCTGGAGGGCATTGAACATGTAAATCTTCAAGACATCATAACGCTGTGCCCGTCCTTATCGTCTCTGACCTTGTCGTTGTGCACATTATCATCATTAGACCCAGATACACAGCTCGACCCCCAGTTACCACATTTCAGAAATTTAACTTCCTTGCACATAAGTCACACCCATGATGACGAAAGGATCCATGACTACATTCGACATTACGTCAGTCTGAAGACCATTCGCTTGAAATGGATTAACATTTTCACCGTCGAATTCATGAGGGAAGTTGTAAGGAGTGGCACACTTGCAGACTTGGAAGAAATTGCTGTACACGAATATTGGAATTACGCTATGACCGTGGAGGCTCTTGAATTGCTCATAAAGCATTGTTCACATTTGAAAAGCATTGAAGGATCTAAAACCTGGCGTTTGATTCCAAAAAGGTTTATCGGGAAACTTAAACGTCGATTATTAGTGCAAAATTTTGATCTTGAGATTAATTAGCGATAGAAGTTCCGTCCTTCTTTTCCAATGATATAACGTATTTTACAGGAAAGCGACTTCTCTTCAAATGGAAATTCAGAACATTATGTACTTATTATTGTGCGGCATATCTCAATATATTTTACTCGAAACGAGTACAATCTGTTCTCATGTTCATTCATTTCTGTTTACAAAATGTTATGTCGTGAGAAGTAGAACATAATTTTCATGCTGTAATTTCTGGCTTTCACACACCACAACCCTGTTCGTTACGCTTAAATACTTTCTCCTGTTTTTATTTTATTACAATTTCTGTTCCTACTTGACATGTAATTGAATAAATTTTATTCGTCCATTTAGTCATTTCAATTAGAACTTCGGACGTAGTTACTCAAGTTTAATTCCTTCACACCTTCTGCTTGCGTACACGACAGAAGTCTCAGTCATAAGCTTCAGATGGAGTAATTTGTGCATTTTACTTCTCTGAGCCGTGACAATCTGACGATATGTTACACACAGTGCTGGTGGGTAAGAAGTTCTTGAACAAATGCAGTCTGCAGTCACAAGCGCCAAATTAGTCTTGAGCATTGTGCGATTCAATTTGTTTCTCCGGATCTTTGTTATTGTATTCTGGGTCAGAATTTCACTAAGCGTGAGGTGTCGACTCAGTGACTGTTCATGTCTAATGTGTGAATGTTAATATACCTATATCCTGCTGTTATGTATGAAGGATGTAGACCTACATTTATGAATGTGTTAACGATTTTATAGATCATTTTAATATTCCAGAATATTAAATAAAATGCTTTAGATGATATTAGTGCCCCAAATTTCAGGTGCTGAACAATCGACATGTTCAATCTATTGAAACAATTCTTAGCTCACATTTTAGCGTTTCAAATTGATTCCTACATGTCTCTAACCTTACATCAAGTTACACGCGTCAAATTCCAACAGACAGCATACTTCACTCAGTGTCTGTAATCTGGTTCGAAAGTAACGTGGCTGCTCCACATATGCCTTGCGTTATGAAGCAGGAAACCCTGATATCCTGGCCTAGTGGGGCGTATTGTCTCGTGAGCTGCTCTGAATTGAACCCTGAACTGCGATGTGCTGACTGGCAACCTGGTGGCCGCATACGTAAACAGTCTACTGGACTGCTTTTGATGGTGGCGGTCCTGACCTACGCAGATAATTTTGTGTGCCTGAACATGCGCTGTGCCAGTCGGTTCGGATTAACTTTGCTCCCGAAAAGTGAGTTTTCAACTCTCCGCTCCCCGCGGCCGCGCCAGCGCTCGCACATCCTCATTTATGGCGGGTTACACCTCTGCTTCTACCTTGTATAGTGGATACTCCCTTGCCCTCTAAATAGCGCGTCTTCTGTTAAGCAAATACATACATTGGTGCTGCTTAGAAATCAGGGACACTTTTCAGTCACATCTGAAGACTTCTTTGCATATGCGATCGAAGTGATTCTATGCAAGGTTTCTCATTAACATTCATTTTTCCCGGTTGTGTACTACACCTGCATTCTTAACCTCTGTCCCGCTAATGATAAGAACGTAAAGCTATCACTGTAAGAGGCCGTGAAGGCCCATAGGGTAGTGAGACATCGAGGCTCCCACATTTTGTAGACATCTGCCTCACAGATGGCGGCGTGGTAATCAGCCCTACGCGGAGACTACCCTTAAAACCTAGGAAGATTCTGGTACTCATTTCTGTTGGAGGCTGAGTCGTCCCCAGGGTCCTAGTGCGGCTGGAAGGATTAGGTCAATTGGAAAATCAAATGACCTCATTGGGAATGGAATGGTTTTGTAGAATAATGCCTCAATATACGTGTATTACGATACCCAGTGGTCCCATAATAAGGAAAGTGGGCTAACTCCGCCATGAAGAAGCAAAGGGTAGTGGAAGTGACACGCCATGCAGTCTCAACCTCGGTAAAGGTCAAGTTGTACCTGTGCTAACTAATTGATCACTACGTCGTGAAGGCTTATGGGGGACTGGATGTATAGATCTAGATTTTCTTCACCTCAGCACTAGTTGGAGGTGAGTGTCAGCTTCTCGCTCAAGAGGGGTTATCCTGAGAAAGAACCCAATACCCACTGGAAAGGAGACTGGATGTTTTAATGAACTGAAAGGTTCTGAAAAGAAGTGGCAGGGCCTATTCTAGGTATTATCCTTTTATTTACCTTAAGTGAAGGTAAATCTCAGTTAGGATTCCCGGTGTCACCACTCACCTCCATATAGTGCCGAGGTTAAGAATGCAAGGAGCTATACATCCACTCCCCCCATACCTCTTCTTAGTGTGGTCCGTAATTTGAAACAGATTCACTTTTCCACCTCTTCCTAAGACGGATGTTCTAAGAATAGTCGAAAAAATATAGGCAGTGAGTGATATTATAATTTATTGTTTTCGTCGGAAATTTGAAGGGATATATTCCGATAGGATACATTGACATCCTTTGTTAAAGCCGTTACCGGAAATTGTCCATTGGCTACTGTAACAGACTGAGAACACTGGTGTGTTTGTAACTTCCCTGTAAAGTATGGAGTTTGGCGATGGCGCTGTAATTACATGTAGTTATGGCGGGTGTGTTAAAGTGGACAGTAAATCAAATCTCCAATCCAAACCCCGCTTATTGTCACTTATAAACGTGACATTATATTGTGACGTGTTGCGCGATGCAGGACACCCCTCCCCCCCGCCAGCGGTGACGTAACACCATCAGAGCGCTGTCGTTACTAGGGTAGCAGGCAAGTCACTCCTTCCCCTACCCCGCCAGCGGTTACGTGGCCAAGGGGTGCCGCTGTTGCTATGCAGCCGTAAACAACTCCCGACAGCGTTGCCACTAACACCTGTAAACACGGCGCCAGACAACAGTGGTGCCTATTACGTGGCTGTTTTCTGTGTTGTCCGTGACGAGGCTAAATAAGGAGCAGCGAAGACTATTCACAGTTAGTTCTCGAGTTACGATTTAGTTGCGAGTTAGCCAGCAGTGAGTCAGTCAACCAGTCAGTTGCAGTGTAGCATTTGTAATACTGCAGGTAGCAGTAATTGTGAATCTGTAAATTGTGTGATTCTAAGAGCGAATGTTAAATAAAATTCGCTACATCCAATACGGTGTGAAGTTATTTGCCGCGTTATACACCCAACACGCGACAATATGAAGAACTGCGTTCTTATGCCGTGCAGTCTGGTACATCACTACAAATGTGTTGACTCCATGAAAAGAGCTCTTAGCTGATGCGTTCTGGGAATTGACGAGCAGTGTCAGCGACACAGGTTTCGGAGAGGTTGTGGGGGGGGGCCTTGCCCCACACAATTACACGAAATTTACGGGTGTATTACTTTCCGAACTGGTCTCTGGAGGCTGCGTCAGCGGTGCCGGTTCTCTGAATTTTTCTCGCTTACAACGATTATCTGGAATGAGAAGTGGGTATAGAGGTCCACGTGTTGCGCCACAATTTTGAGACTAGAAGTCAACATGCATTGCCTAAATGTTTCGAGAGTTGCGACAAACGTTTTACAGCAATTACATTAGTATGTCAACACCTGGACAGACAATCTAGGGTAAGAACGCCTGAGTTAGCAGAATACGCAATAGCACTTCTGCAAGTCGCGTTGTAGGGACACTGTGGTATAATAATATTATTAAATAAGCAGCAAAGAGGACCACGAGCCCACCCACAGCCAAAAGGTAGCCAATAGAAACCCCTNCAAGTCAA